TCAAAATTTTTAGAAGAAGCTACGAGAGATTGCCCAGGGGGAATAGTTATTTTTTGGGCGACTTCAAGGGGAGGTCTTAAGAATTTTTTTGTCATCTAAAGATTTCACCTGACCCCCACTTCCTCTCTGCCATACATTATGAACGCAGCCTAATAGTGTTAGGAATTAAGAATTAAGGAATTTGAACAATCTTTTGAAACCCTTCACCATGAAACTACAATTGCATGCATTGTGTTTAGCCGATGTGTAGACTTTATTTGCTTTCTGATTATCACTCTAGTCTTTGAACCAAAATATTCTCTTTTCTACATTTTCCTTTCGTGTCAGCCTTTATCTTTCCCTTTTTGGTTCTTCTTTTTCTTTCTCTCTCTCTTTCCGTATTTCATTTCATTTTGCTTATTTTCTTCTTTCCAAAGATCATTGTAGACTTTTTAATAATATCAACACTGCTGTTACTATTGAATCAACTGTACTGCAAAAGCAATGAGGAGCTACGAAAATTTTTATCGAAATCAAATCGTCAATTATTTTTTTGAAGATGTCATCATTTTCTTCACCGGACACCAACCGCCACTGCTATACCCCTTTACCAACCAATTTATTTGCTTTGCCTTCTTATCCCTTCTCCCCAGCCTCCGCTATTCCAACTCATATGGCGCGAAACACTTCCTTTATCATTTGTTATGATAAAAAGATATTAGTATTACAATCGAAATTCCCTTCCTCGAAATATCAGCTGTATTATCAATTGATGCCCTATTCAAAACACAGCGGGCAATACTGTCTGCTACATGAAGCCTACATCTAATCCCAGTAATACTTTCTTAATCTAAGAAACAAAAACAAAAAACAAAAAAAAAAACACACACAGACTTTAATAATCATTTCAATCATTTTTTTTACTGGGAAAAAAGGTGTCAAGCATTGTGTTTTCAATGGAGCAGTCGGTGTTCCCCATGCTAACACACTTAAGATCATTCAGTTGCTATGACAATGAACAATAACTAGCATTTGATTGGCTAGTTTGTTTTATTCAAGAAGTCGAGTTTTCAGCTCAGGACATTCACTCAACATCTGACGACGTTTGGCAAATTGAACTGTTGTTTTGATCTTTTAGAGCGAGATCTACTGTTCTAGCACAAGTTGAAGGTCGACGGGATTAGCCAGACTACAGCGTCAGGTAAGTACACAGTAAAGACAATGTAAACCTTGAAACTCAGTTTCAATCGTATATCTAAAACTTTGGATTTTATTCGATGTTTTAATTTTGTCGGAAATTATTTTTTGGAATTCTGGCCTATTGCTTGACTGAGATAAGTTAACGTTATAAATATAGTTATTCTCCAGTATATATCCAGTTCATATTATTCACATAAATAATTCAAAGAATAGTAATGGAAATATAAGCATAAGAAAATGTGAACAGAGAGAGAGAAAAGGAAGAAGAAAGAAAAGAGAAAAAATTACTTATTACAAGTATATAAATCCACTTTAAAACAAGGAATTTTTTTTTTCTTCCTCTATAAACGTTGCTTATTTATGACAGGAAATAATTCTAAATTAAGGATTTGAATTTCAGAGTGAATATCTGCTCATTTATTTTCATCGTCTAAGTATTTTTTAAAGTGGAAAGAACTGATAAATAATATAAATAATATCTACTAACTTTGGCGCCTTTTTAATATAACGTTACCAAATTGAAAGCCACTTTTGTTCATTATTGATGGGACATTTATTCCATATTCCGCCAAAAATACTGTGTCGCTTCTTGTATCATGGTCTTCCATCGGCTCATTATTTTCCTTTCCAACTTAATATTTGATAAAGATCCAAAGTTTAGAGTTGAAAAAAGGCAGTTTTGGCAGGTAATAAATTTTGTATTCTTAGACATCGTCATTTTTCCCTTTTTTTTTTTTTTTTTTTTTTTTTTTTTTTTTTTTTTTTTTTT